GAGTTGTTGCACCGCCATGCTCCAGCTAGAGCATTGCGATCAGCTCAGCAAAATATGTTGGTGGTTCCTCGGTGCAGGAAAAAAACCCGAGGTGACAGGGCTTTCAGTGTTGCAGCTCCCAGACTGTGGAACAGCCTCTCAGTACATATCCGGACTGCTGAGTCTATTGAACTTTTTAAATCTCAGCTAAAAACTCACCTCTTTACACTGGCTTTTAATACTAGTTGAACATTACATTTTTACATTTGTATGTGTTTTTTAAAATATTTTTCTAGTTATTGTGCTTTTTATCATGTTTTTAATTATTGTTTTATTATTGTACTCCCATTGTGTTATTTAATATTTATTGCCTGTACAGCACTTTGGTCAACTGAAGGTTGTTTTAAATGTGCTATATAAATAAATAAAGATTGAGATTGAGATTGATATTACTGTGTTCTTGGCAGTTATAAGGCTCTTTGGGAAAATGAAAGGGATCCGATTGACTTTTTGCGACAACAATAATTGTACTTGGAAATACCAGTTGGACTTGAAAGTAGTTAAAAAGTTGTCTTTGGCCACTTTAACTAAACTAACTTAATTACATAAATGAACCACCTGTTAAGTTTGTGTAGCTTAGAAGATAAAGAAAACCTTTTATGTGCATAAAATGTATACTTTGCAAAACAATTCTACCAAAAGTCCCCAATTATTGTGTAGCTCTAAATACCCTGAATCAACCTTGTGGTAAACATTGTCTGATCCTATGCTGTTGTATTTCAGTAACGGAGGACTGGACCCGTGGTCTTCTGGCGGAGTGACCCACAACATCACAGATTCTCTGGTGTCCATAATGATTCCTGACGGCGCCCATCACTTGGACCTCCGCTACAGCAACGCCCAGGACACAGCTCCAGTCCGCCATGCTCGGGCGTTAGAGGTGAAGTATTTCCGAGAGTGGATAAGCCAGGCCAAACTGCATCCACCCCCCAGACCCTGAAAGCAGCACAATGTCCCCCTACCAGGATTACCTAGCTTTAATTGATCTGACATGGTATTCAACAGGGTGACCTCTGCATCATTATGCCAAAGTGTGTGCCTTTTTTAATTAATGTGGGGGAAGATTTTTTTACCTTTGAAAGATGACCTTTTTATAAATAAAAAAAAATCAACAACCCTTTTAATTTGAATAACCATGTCATTAATCAAATGGTGGTGTTTTAGAATCTTAATCATTTTCTTTGTCCGATACAAGCACACTCCATTTCTTTATGCCAAACTTTTAAATGTCAAAGGGCTACAGGGGTATGAGAGAAAAATGAGATATGCTTGTGATAACAGTGCTTTTTAAATGTCTTCCTTTGTTAATTCATGTAATCACATTATCATCATGAAAAGACTGGATCATGCTCGTTTTGTTCTTTTTCTACCATGTAAAATTTGCCAAAAACCCATTATGGCCTCTCTGCCTCCAAGCTAGTGTTTTCCTGTTGTCAGTGTAATAATCACAGATACATTCAGTTATTCAAATCTTTGATTCAATTTTTGTCAGCAACTAAGGGATTTGTTGTTCTTGTTGTTGACACTCAGATCTATTTGTTCTTTCAAATGAATGTACAGTCTGATGTTAGTTCTTGACATTTTTAAGACGTCTCAGGAGAATAGTTTGGCACCAAATAGAAAGAAAATCATTCTGTTACTCTGCACAAAGTCTGCTATTACATTTGATATGTTATTGTTCACAGAAGAGTGTCCTCCTGGCCTTTTGAAGATGTCTATTTATGTCTTATACTAGCTTTGTGTAAAATGCTGTCGTTCCAAAGAAGTCTTCCATACTAACTGATTAAAAACCTGCTTATGATACGGTCATATAGTCTTTCTCAGTGTCTTTTAATCATGTTTAGATGTACTGTTGCTATGTTGAGCCCACTCTTTGTCTTGTTTCAGAGACACTGAGACTTAAGAGTTACTTCCACCTAGCAGGAACAATTTCATGCGGCTGAGATTTAATAAAAGCCCAATCGGAGGAGGCCAATAAAGTCAGTGGTGGGAGATTATTGCAGCTACGCCTGCTGACCTCACCCCTGCCGACCAACCTGTGGGATTCCCCCTGGCACGCATTCATTCACTGCCTGCCATTAAAGCCCTAAATTGCAGCACAGAGGCAGCCCATAGACCCTGGTTTGTTCCCCCCCTGCTAGTAATATTATTAATACAACTCCTGGGGTGCCAGGGAGGTGGAGAGGGGCGGATGGAAGGTTAAGAGTGAAGCGGTGAGTGGATGAGGGAAAGCAGAAACCAAGAATCCTTTTGTAGTTCTCCTTTTTATTCCCTCTTTTTTAAACGTCAAGCTAAAATATTCAAATGTCACGAAAATACTAAGACGGGCGATGAACACTTTTTTTATTTCCTTTGAACTATTCTTGCCCCCCCTTTCTTTTAAAGCTCTGACATAACATGACTTTGTGAAGCAGATGGGGAACATGTCCTGCACTGGTATGTGGGATGATTTTCTACCAGGAGGCACAAAGCCTGACTTCTCCGCATTTTGTCACAGGCTTGACTGGATTTCAGACATCCCAGTAGAAAGAAACCTAGCTAAACATGGGGGAGGACGGACTAAATGCCACCCTTAAAACTTTTCTCAGGACTTTGAGAGGTCATTAATTTTGCCAGCCTTTTCTTAGTCTCTGACACTGGCCATCAATCAAAGGTGTTATTAGTATTCTCTCGACCCCAAACTCTGAGTATGTCCCTGCTCAGACAAGGGACCACACAGTAGTAGGAAGAGATTAAGCCTGTGTGTGTGACATCACGTTGCACCCTTCTCCCTCTAAGTTGGGTGCTGCGGAATAAGGAAATGTATATTGTGGTTGTAGTGTTTAACTTTATCCAGAAAATATGGGTCTTGTGTAGCAATTTGATTATTGGAAAAGGCACTGCAGACTACTAATGCTTTTCTCCAAATAAAAATTCCCCCAAAGCACCAAACCAAATGAGATTTTGAAAATACAATCGTTTGACCTCATTGATTCTGGCCAAATAAAATATATTAAAGGAATAAATTAACAATTGACCTCATACTAAGGGTCTCAGGAGTAGAAACAAGTCAAATGCTCTCAGTTTACATGCTGTTTCCGAGCTGCTCTGCCCCCACCCATCCCCTCCCTCCCTCTCAGCCTTTAAGCAACAATAGAAACTTGTTTCCGGGGTCTGTGCGTCAGGCTCTCTGATGTGAATGACCCACCAGCACAAAAGCAAAGTCCCTTGACTGGGAAAAAAGGGGGGGATATAGCTGCCTGTGATGATGTCACTTTGCCAAAATTGTGCTGCTAGCTAAGAGAGGGAGGCAGAATCACTTTGAGCAGGCGTTGAAAGCTTACTCCTGAATTCATGAGTTGTTGTGATGCGGCCTCAGCTTCGTTTTCCTCTGACACTTATCACTGTGAAGAACTCAAAGTTGAATTTGCAACAATTTGTTTTGGCAATTACTCCAGTAGATTTGAATATGGAAAGTCTCTGCAGTTCCCACACATGAATTCTTGTTTTTCTAGTCAAATCAAAAGGCCATCTGTATAAATGGAAAATATATTCTTTGTTGTTGCTTTTAGATTTGAGTTTTTCTGTATTTTCAGTCACAGACTTGTGTTAAGCCACAGATAATTAGATCAGTGCTATCACTTTCGCTGTTTCTCCCCAGGAATTAACATAAGAAAGAATTTTTTTACGGCCTCACTCCCCTTCTGCTTCAGACTTTTCTTTTCAACTCTTAAATGAGTCACTGCCTCACCTCAACATGCACTTCAGTAAGAGGGGGGATCTTTTTATTCAGCTGCAGCATAACGTATTGTAATAATAATCATAAAATGAGTTTTCTGCATTCTCTGCCGAACAAATACAAATATGTGTAAATGCTGTACATTTGTAGTGTGTGGTTAAACTATGTCTTATAGTCTATACACTTGAAACTCAGTTGAAATTCCACTTAAATTGGGATAAGAGCTGGCAGCGTAACAATCTGGCTCTTGGACACATCCTTCGTTGTATTCACTGCCGGCCAACAAACTTCCTGTAAATACGTTATTGTTTACAACAGAAGTTTCATACCCAGGATTTCTTAAGGTCAACATTTCTTCTGGCACACTGAGCCTGAACTGCACTTTATTCCCCTTTAATTTAACAGCTCCGGCAGCTTTTCTAGTTAAATCGACTGTTCATTATTGAGACCCATTTTACGAAGGGGCTGTGAGGTGCAATTTAATGAATCTCTGGCACAAAGCTCCCTTTCACTGCCGGGCGAAGAATAGAGGCTATTTAGACCCTGTAGGGCTTTATGTCAAAGGCAGCCCATAATAGTTGTCAAGCCAGGGCAGAAATTCCCACTAGCCTGGGATTGCACAAGAAATCAACTTTTGCCATAAGCAGATTAAGACACAAGCGAGCAGTTGGGAAGATTCCCCCTAATAGTGGCATCTGTTTGTGCACAAAGATTTTCCCACAGAATAGAAGCCTTTCTCACTACTGTAGAGCCTTGGTTTGTGGTTTGTTTCAGTGCCTAAATGAGCAGTAATTAGATTACAACTTAACTTCCATTTGTCAATCCAGAAAGGAAACACATAATGGTGTTTGAATGGTGGTTAAAATGTTTTGAAAAGCAACCAGGAATCACACGAATAATGATATTAGTTGTGGATTGTTGGAGAAAATGTTACTGCTGAAGAAATTGGTTTAGTTATTTGTTGTTGTTTGTTTAATAATCATGTAACAAATAGTTTAAAAGACAGATTTTGGTTTAGTAATTCTACCCAGAAAAAGACTCTACTATTCATGTGTATTTCAAAGGTTTTCTGCTCACTGTTACAGTAATTTCCTTCAGTTTCATGAAAGCGTTTTTGGTTCAGAGCACACACAAACAGTTAAACTAGAGGGGGAGAGTTCTGACAGAGTTTATTGTCTTCAACACAGCAGGGAATTTCAGACAAATCCCTCTTAGATGCAGGTGGTCAGGCACAAGCAAAGAGTTAAGTCCTGCGCTCTCTTTGCCCCTCCTCTTTGATGTTCTGACATCATTAGTCCAGCCCCCCGAAAGATCTCCTTGCTTTTCTCAGAGCCCGTCACTTCTACTCTGGAATGTGTGCAGCAACTTCATGAGCTGCATCAGGCCCAGGTGTTTGGAGAGAGACATGCTGTGAAGAAACTTTTCGTTCAGGGATCACAGCGGATGCCACAGGTCTAGCCGCTGGGCTCAACAGAGTAATGGCTGTTCAGACTGCAATCATGAACCCTCAGTTCATGACTTTCTGCTTCCCTGGTTCTGTGATGGAGTATGAGGTGGAGAAAGGCCTGGATGGGAGTCTCCTCGGTGAGGCAGAAAATGACGAGGACTACAAAGAGACCACTAGGGACCTGCTGAGCTTCATAGACTCAGCCTCCAGCAATATCAAGCTGGCTCTGGACAAGCCGGTGAAATCCAAGAGGAAAGTCAACCACCGGAAGTATCTACAGAAGCAGATCAAAAGGTGCACCGGCATTATAACACCAGGAAATGTAGCAGATACTGCTGTTAAAAGACAGGGTTCCCCCCTGGCTCAACCCAGCCCTTTGCAGAGCAAAACTCTGCCTAAACGCGATGGAGTCCAGGCAAACTTACAGAGCAAGAGCCTGGCAGCCCTGTTCAGCCCTGTGAAGGATATAAGAGGTGAAAAAGCCAAGAAACCACCCCTAAGGCATCGCAATCTGCCCCCCTCTTTCTTCACCGAGCCTGCCAACTGCTCAAAAGTCAGCTCCACATCTGGGATGACGCTGAAGGACTTGGAGCGAGGAAATCCTGAGGCTGCGGAGTTCTTCGAGCTCTTGGGGCCTGATTATAGCAACATGGTGAGCGACCAGGACCTTTATCAAAGTATGCCGGTCCGTGTGCTGCCAGAGATGGGAGGCCTGGATCCTGCTTCATACGATGCTCATCATTTAGTTGGTGGACTGCTGTACTCCGAGCCCTGGACTAGCTGCTCGGGACCCTCTAAGAAACTAGAGGAGAGCCTTCGTACGGGCCCAGCCCAGCCTCCTCTCTACTGTCCCTCTGAGACTGCTCCTGGGTCCATAGAGGACAACGCACTGTGCACTTTGGCCTTCCCAAACTTCTTCACAGACTGCTCCATACCTCAGGTCACTTATGATTTAAGTGGTGGTTATAACAGAGCTAACTATTCATCTCTATGAGAAACTGTTCTTAGAAGTGCTGCTGGTGAAAAGCAGATACAATTGCTCTGATTAGTTTAACACTAGGCTAAGAGAATTGGATATTACTTTATCAATATTGTTTATGTGTTGTGGGAGTAATATTGCAACTGGATTTAATCATTTTGCATCATCTCCTCATTGCGTCATGTGTCACTTTCCTGGAGAAAAACAAGCAACTTCAAATATAGTATTTCATGAGAAACTGTCCAAAGCTTTTTCAAGTCAATGCATGCCATTTACCTTTTCGACATCCCAGTCTAATTAACTATTCTGTTTAATGTTAAGATGTTTCACATATTATTTTCTTTATCTCAGGCAATTTCTAATGATAGTCAGAATGAAAATTCATCTCATTTTGGGTGAGTTTCAGTTTTGTCAGTGGAGTGAATCCGGTCATTAATATGAAGACTTTTCATTCTTACAATTTCATGTTGGACAAAAAGAAAACATACAAGCTGCAGATATAGTGGTTGGTGTAGTCCGCTGAACCTCACTTATTGCTAGATATTATAGAAGTGTTCGTCACATTTGACAAAACATGCTGACACTCAGCCAGGCACTCCTATTAATAACTGTTCTGTGTAGAGGGGGAAATCATTTTTGCTGAAATGATTATTAGAACAATGTGTGATGCAATGTTTGTTTTACAACATTTTACAGCTGGCAGATTTACCACTTGTATCCAATTGATTGGAAAAGCCTTAAATGTATCTAGCTATTGTAAGAGGACAAAATAAAGCTGGTCTTTATTATTGTATAACAGTGTCTGTTTTTGTGTTAATCATGGTTTTGTTGAGAGTTGAGTTTGTTGCAATCAATCGCAAGTAAATAAATCAATACATACACATTGCACTCTTATATATCCTTTGAGGGCTGCACAATATGCAAAGTGTTTCCATTCTTATCTCATAATCCTGAAGCTTCTCTACCTTGAGTTTTCCTGTTTTGTTAAATAGTATTGCTTGTTATTTATTTATTCCAATGCTTTTATCATCTATCTGCAACTGTGAACTACTCTGTAACCCTTGGTTTGTGTGTTATGCAATCAGTTGAAACTATTGAGTCATTACACAAACAGTAAAAAACGGTTTAACAGGTAGAATTTACTTCAGTATTTTATTACATTGCATCATATAGGTGTTTGTAATTGTTCTACTCACAGACAGTATAACAAATGTACATTTACTCAAGTATTTATACTCGCTTAAATTGCTTGAAAAGACACAGAAATACATTGCTGATTGCAGTGTTAACCAGCATTGTTTCTTTCTGGTCCAATACATTGGAATTCCGGTCTCATTTGTTGAGATGTTAGACAAAAGGGGAAAACATCATAACAATTCTGAGGGAAAAACAACAACTGGTACACACTGGAGAAATAATTCAGTGCTGCTTGATTGATTTTACATTTCTGCTGGGACTGAGAACCGGCTGGTAAACACTCTGTGGGACATAAACACCTCAAAGTAAGTTCATGTACATTTTCTAACTCTCAACATCATTGCCCTTAATTAACTTCTCACACAATCATTTTCAAAATAAGCAAAAATGTAGGAAGTATGACAATCATTTATATTTAATTCCCAGTTTTCACTACTGCACCACTCCATCAGTCCATTTGCTGGCTTAATATGGGCATGGGAGTTATTCATTTCCTGCAAGTTGTCTGTTGAAACCTCCAGACCATTTTTTAGATCATTTGAATACCATCACCCTGCTAACCGTAGGCTATACATTAGTACCACCCTCTGCTGGCTGATGAAAGTCCAATTCATAGTGCAGAAATCCTGGCTCACAGTAAAGTCTGCATGGTGAACTCTTGCAGAATAATGATAGTCACATTGTTCAACATTGTATATAATATTAAACAGGTTGATTATCTTTCTTTTTTTACATTCACAAATATGGCGGGTACTCCCTTCAGAAGTAAAGGTGTACAGATTAACGCTTAAGTACAAGTTATCAGGAAAAGGGAATTGCCACATATATAATGTCTAAATGCTTTTTTATGCTTTTATATAAATACATACATTATGTGTGCTTCTTGTTGTACTTAAAACAAATTCAATATAAAAACAATTATGTATTATATATTCTAATTTTTTTTTCTTTTTTTCATGCAGTCTTATGTGTGTGGGGATAATAGACACTTTTTTCTTGTGATATCCAGCTGTTTTAGTATTAGCCTATTTACAGTCATGGTATTTGACCAGAAATAGTAATACAGCAATATCCTACCAAGTGAAAATACCCCGCCTACCCTAAAAATAAGAAAAAGGAAGAAAAGGAAAGGAAATTGCACACAACCATGTTTTCTTTCTCTGGTTGACTAAACATGCATGATCTGGCTAATCGCCACACTCCTTCATAACACAGTGCACACAAATCCACAAAGACCGGCAGTCTTCAGTTGTTTACGACGAGTTCACTGGGGAGTTAAGTGCTTCAGCTTGTTGTTGAAGAAGGCAGGAGCAATTTCCAGTTGTTTTTCCTACGATTTATTGACCCATAGCTCCCTTTTTCAATTTTCAATCAAGAAACAATATAAAATGGCAGAGCACCACAAACATGTCCGTCAGTGTTGTCTTCAGGCCCAGCAGCTACTAATAGCACACACTAGATGGCAGTAATGTTCCACTGAAAACTCAAATGTCCACCACTCCCATTTAGACACAGATGCACTCTGATGTATGAGATGATATGTGAAACTGCAGTATTGTGTAGTGCTCTTTCAAATTCCATGAAATAAATAAGTCCTGGATTTAGTTAGTTGGAGGGGAATGGATGCATATAAACTGTGAGTTTACATTTCTGTCTTTTTCAGAGTTGGTTTAAATGGATTTCCACACACTAATGTTAAGATGCTGTAAGAGTATCACGTCATGATGTACATGTTCATTGTAATGCTCTATTTTTAAGCTTCTAATAGTCTGCCAGGCTTTTTTTTACACTCCGACCAGCTGGCTTTGTTGCAGATTGGTCAAAAACACCCTATGTCATTCACAAGACAAAAAGAATATCTGGCAATTTGCAATAGAGAGCTCCACACACAGAAGGTATATGGATTTTCTGTCCCTGAGTTGACACCGGCTGATACATTCAGATTAAACCCTACTGATGGAGCCACAACTGTATCCTGCTTTGATTTATGGCACACTGGAGATGCAATGTTTGTCAAAGAGATTAACAAGAACTGTGTTGGTGCAGGGCTGAATAACAAGAGCCTGATATCTAGGTAAACTAGATAATATACAGAAGATTTTCTCTGGCATGGTATATCATGTCCTATAATAAAAGAAGTGTAAACACAGATGATATAATTTGCACATGTATACGGAATGGAAAAACAAACCAGTGCTCAAATGAAAAAGTTATACATTTCAGAGTTGTTAGCTTCGTGGTGTTACATTGGAATTAGAGTATCCATCCACGCCTGCCCTCTCTCTCTGACCTTTCACAGCCAGTCCTCATGGCTTGTTAGCGCCACCGGGGTGAAAGCACAGTTGCCAGATGATATCCGTTAGCCTTTCGTATATTCTCTCTCAGTAACATGTAACTTACTTTTGCAAATGTTTGTTTTATAGAGAGCCATTTATAGAAATAATTCACATGCATGCTATTGAAGCATAGCATCACTGATGTTAGTCCCTACTGTGATAAATGCCAAATTAATGAAGCCTCTCTCATTCATATGTACTGTTCCTGTCCCCGCCTAAGCATGTACTGGACGGAGATTTTCCAAACTCTGTCCCAAGTGTTCAGTATTGAACTGGATCCAAATCCTCTGGCTGCCCTATTTGGGGTAATAGGAAAGGAGATGCGTTTAACTGCAGAATGGCGGCGATCTCTGTCTTTTGCTCTCCTCTTAGCTCGTCGAGCCATCCTGCTTAGATGGATAGACAGTTTCCCGCCCACTCATCTACAGTGGTTGACAGATGTTATGTCCTGTATGAAACTTGAAGAGATCAGATACTCACTTCTATACTCAAACAGCACATTTCAGGAAGCCTGGGGACCTTTTATAAATGTATTCGAAATTCATTGCATTGGCATATATTATGTTTACCATTACTATATGATACACACTGCTTATTGATTGTCGAAACTAAATGAAAAGATATTTGATTTGAAGCATAGCATCACCACTATCTTTAATTAACTGCTTTGCAAGAAAAAGGACACATTACAACAGATTCATGCTTGGCTTAATATAATAAGCTGCAAGTGGTTCATTGTATCCACTGATTATCTGCTTGTAAAGATTACATATGTATTATTCGTAACTTGACGTTTCATTTGTCATATTCTCCAGCATACATATTCATTATAAAACAATCTTTCATAACTTAATATTACCTTATAATTGCACCTTTGTGTCTGATAAGTGCTTTTCTATTATCAGTCCCCACGGCCATTTATGTATTCCTTGGGTGCTTCTTATGTCCTTGCAAAGATTTCCAATCGAAGTCTTCAGATACGTCCTTTACCAACCAAATAAACACCAAATTAAACTTTAAATCCTTGACTTTTAGACATTTTATTTCATCACAGATAATGTTGCCTTCCACCTTTCAAGGACTACACAGCACGCCATTCAAGGCAGTACATAACGTGCAGAGAGATATGACTTCACATTGCCATTTTCACTGCCTTAACCAGTGATAGCAGTACGTTTCTGTGAGCATTAATTTTAAATGAATAATGTATCCTTGCCTGATCCTTTTTCTTGTCTGTGGTAGTAAGATTATCCCAAAAAATACAATTTGCTTAGAGCTCAGTATATTTCTTTCCATATGTATTTCATGTCTCACTGCTTTCCATTTAAGTCTGCATTCATTTGCAGCAGCTATGGTGCACTGTTTTGCCTCCTCAGGGTGTTGTGAGTATGCTGGCTTACATCTGTGTGTTTTTGTCAGTGTGATAACAATTGCAAGCTGTGCAGATGACAAAAGTCTTGGCGAGATTAAAGGCAATACTGCTGGAGATCTTTCATCTCCGGCAGATGCTACCCGTATTGACAGACACAACTCTCTCATGAAAATCACATTAATAAATATCAATTTAAAAGCCATTCCCTGCTCGGATGACATACTTTAATAGGTGGCGTCGCTCCTGTTATGACTATGACTATCAAAGGGGTCTAAGAAAGCAAAATGTCACTATAGTCAATGTCATCTGATGTGTTAAATTGTAGAGAAGGGATGATTATAGACTACACATTGTCATGTATATGGATGTATACTAAACATATGAAACAGAACCATTAGTTGAGGTTTAAGGGATCTAATTGAACACTTTACTGAAGTTGGATTGGTCATTAAAAGGGAAAACATGGGAACATCGGAAAATATGTATTATTTTTGTATCTGTTTGTTATCTGTTAAGTCTTTTTCGCTGTTAGGAAGCCAGCCATCCATATTTATTCGGCTTATCTAAGTCAGGGTCATGCCGATCAGATCTGAGTATCAAAAGCCTGTTTTACCCAAGCACCCTCCTCAGGTTCCTCTCCTCATAGTTGGTCATGCTCCACCTGCAACACAGCTAGAAATATTGGGCTCCCTGACAGCTAAACAGAAGCTTTAACACACTGAATATCTAATGTCCCTAAACACATCCTGTCCAGCTCCGGGCCCCTTGAATTATTCAAAGTTCGCCACATCAAATAGTGTCACCAAGAAGGAGAGAGGAATCTGGCTTCCAACCAAAGTCAACTCTTATAGATGACCCCTTCATGCTGTCAATTTCTGCCATTTG